AATTTGAAGTTTCAAAGTTCGTTGATTTCGAATTGAGGTGTCACTTGTCGTTTTGATGTTGTTATGTGTGTTTTGAGGCCTCAAGTAGGTTCGTGTTATGTTATGGGACTTGTTGGTATGTTTGGACGGGGTCCCGAGGGGCTTGGACGTGTTTCCGATTGATTTCGGATCATTTTCCTTCATGTTTCCACTGCTGTGTTCTGCTAGTTTCTGATGTCTCAATCCTTCATCGCGTTCCCGTGGGTGTCGCGAACGCGTAGTGTATTCTGATGGCAGCAGCAAATTGTTCTTCGCGATCGTGAAGTATGTCTCGCGTTCACGTAGATTTGGGGCAAGTCCTCTTTGCGTTCGCGTATGGAGGATCGTGTTCGCGTAGTTGAGGTTGGCAACTGGTAATTTGGAGTGTTCCTCTACGCGATCACATAAGGTTAGTCGCGTTCGCGAAGCTTTGGCAGCAGTGTTCATCGCGTTCTCGTGGGGTGTATCGCGAACGCGTAGAGTCTTTTGTGGCAGTGTGAGTTTTATTCATCGCGAACGCAATGAATTTCCCGCGTTCGCGAAAGAGGAAGCATGGGCAGATTATAAAGTACTCTATTTCGAGGGTTTCAACCATTTTTACATTATAGGAGCTATGGAGATCGGATTGAGGCGTTTCTTGAAGCAATTTCACCTTATGAATTGAGGTAAGTGTTCGCTATTCGGTTCTGGGCATACTTCATGATTCTATCTTCGATTTTAGCTTTTGGTTGATGAATTTTAAAGAGGAACTGGGGTTTTGGCCTAAAGTTTCATAATATGAATTTTTGAGTTTTGAACATCGAGTTAAAGTCGGAATTGAGTGAAACTAGTATGGTTGGACTCGTAATTCAATGGGTTGTCGGATTTTGTGAGTTTTGTCGGGTTCCGAGGCGCGGGCCCGGATGTGATTTTTGGCCGGTTTTGGGTTTTGATTAAGGATTCGATCTTTGTCATTTGGAATTGTTTCCTTGGGCTTTATTTGATGTATTTAAGTTGATTTTGGCTAGTTTTGAGCCGTTCGGAGGTCGCTACGCGCGTGATGGCATTTTTGAAGCATCGCTTGGCTTGCTCGGTATTGGAATTGGCTTGTTCGAGGTAAGTAACTCTTCTAAACTTAGTGCTTAGGGTATGAAACCTTGAATTACGTGCTATGTGATTGATGATGAGGTGACAGGCGCGTGGGCTTGCACCGTGTGAATAGTGACTCCATTATTTCTGCGGTACTGTGTAGTTAATTGAGGTATAGGGACTGGGGAGGAGGGACATCCTCCTCTCGAGTGTCTGCTACCGGTGGGGGTGATGTAGCAGTGGCTGGTGACAAAGGTATGGCTAGCGTGGAAAGAGATGAAGCTGATGATGTTTTGGGTTGAGAAGCAGCTGCAGCGAAGGTAGTGATGGTTGTTGGTTGCTTACCAACCGAAGATGGAAGAGGGCCGGTACTCAGCCTCATAGTACCGGGAGCAACAACTGGGACTAGATAGGGAGAATTGGCATTCTCCACCAAGTCAAACTCTCCCAGAGCGCTTGGGCGTCGTCCCCGGTTGGGGTTATAAGCTCTTCAGATTGAGCATTATGTTAAGATGATGAAGGTCGTTGTCTCCTTTGTAGGGAAGCCGCTTTATCACTGGCTTCCCCATCATCATCAATCACCATAGTGAATGCGGCTGGCTCGAGCGCGACTTTCTTCACCTTATTATTCTTGCCTTCGACCGAGGAAGAACGCCGCCTTTTTGGTTACTTGTTCTCCGGCCGGGAACTCCGTGATGAAGCGCTTGCACCGAAAGCAGATCTGATGGTGCCAGTTCGGGTGAAAGCCTCCTTCAGCAACCTCATAGCCTCCGCGGGATCAGCCAAAACATCCTCCTAAGGGATGGTAACAGAGCCCTATGGGTGACCTGAATTCAACGAAAAAAAAGAGGTTAACCAATTTTCTTATGCACAAAAATGAGATGAGGACAAAATTAGTTTCACAAGTCAACTTACCATGGTTTTTGGTATTCCACCCATATTTGGGAGCCAATTCTTTCTACTGGCGGGTCTCAGGCAGGGTAATGTCCAGAATCTTTTGAACGCACTGGTCCAAGCCTTCAATCCTTGGAGGTGTCCACCGAGTTGTTGAAATAATGAAAAGAGAAGGATCAGCAACGACATCAAACAACCTTTTTCAGAAGAAAAAAAATAGACTTTGAACTTACGTGTACGAGTCTAGGACTTAGGGAAAGATGGAGTTGTGGCCAGGATGATATCCCCGATGGCAACAACGACAAACATCTCCATCCATCCATGGTCGTTGTCATCATCCATGCTGGTGAGCAAAGCATGGTGGCCACGTTTCTAAAGTTTATTACTCCCCCACGAAAAATCTTGGGGGAGTAGAGATTCATCATGCGAGCCAAGGTGAGCTCCTCCTTCGTCTCTTGGCACAACCGCCTCAGACAGGCCACTGTTCGCAATACAAAAGGGCCCACCCATGCCAAGCAAACCTAGTATTTGTGGCACAGCTCAAAAATCACAGGGTCAATTCCCTCGCTCAATGAGAAGGCACCCAAAGTAAATGGGTGCGTATAAACCTACATGAAGCCCTTCTTAGAGAAGGTTACTCACTCCACCAATTCGGGAGCAATGATATTCAGATCATGGAAATCATAATCCTCCTTCACAGCAGGAATGCTGGAAGGCTGATGGAAGAAGGGTATATGCCAACAGCCCAAGTGCGAGAACTTGAAGAAGGAAACTTCTCTTCGAAGTCATTGGTTGTGTTGAGTCTTTTGAGAATGATGGTGCTCAACGTAGAGGGGTCATCATCATCGATGATTTCCTTGTCTTTGTTCTCCTTTGGGCCCTCACCAAAGAGAAAACCTGAGTTCTTGGAAAAAGAAGCTATGATCAACAGATAGTAATAAGAGTTCTTTGAAGAAGAAGATTAAGAAAAGAGTGAAAGCAGGAAAGAGTTGAATGCAAAGAAGTTGGGAGAGTTTGTAGAACTGTGAAGTGTAAAAGCAGAAGAATGAGGTGTATAAGTAAATGAATAGGCGGCTAAAATCGTGGCCATGATTACCTTGAGAACTGGCGAAAATATTGCTACGTCGCGGAGTAATATGTGTACGGAGTATTAAATGTGAAGAGACGTGCGTCTAATCAAGCGAAAAATTTTCAAAAGAGTTCAGAAAATTTTCCGCCAAAAAAGGAATCTTCACCAACTTCCCGATGACACAAAGATATGCCTCCAGAAAGCAGAGGACTATCTATATAGGGTAAAATCGATTCACATTAAATACTCAAGTGATAGATCACACATGGAACCGGAGACAGATGGAAGACGAAGCGAGTGGAAACCAAGACCGATGTCAACAACTTCGGTTGGCACGGGCAGACCCCGAAGGGAACATAGTTAACGAGGGCAAACAAATATTTGCTCGGATGACGTTCAATGAAGAATATTCCTTAATATTAAATACACATTCCGGTACAGAGAATTTTGCATTCATAGCCTACGGTTATATATTCATCAATGACCCTCATTATTGTCATTTAAGAAGGGTTTGATCCTAGGACCTTATTACATAGGTGTAGCTATAAATAGTGACTTCAACAGCCAATATAACACACAAATGTTTTGACAAATAATGTCACACATTATTCCTAATGCTTTATTCTCTGTTTTGCATTATTCTTATTGTTGCCTTCCTGCTTCCGAAACCATCCGAAACCAAGTTGTCTGTCATTTTATCTCGATTTCAAGGCTAAGTCTGGCGTTATTTAATTTATATATCATTTTGAATCAAATCGATCCGCTTGCCTATAAACCACGTTATAAATTCAACTGTATCGTTTTACGAATAAACGGTAAACATCTGGAGTAATACTTGTAAGGGAAAAGGAAATTGTATTCTAGTAGTTCTTGGTTGGGTGCTATGTATTCTTATTTCTTTTGCTTATAAAATCAGCTTTAGAAGTGTAAGCTCTATTAGACTTTAGAGGTTTCTTAACAATGTCGGGCACACACCCGTACATAACACCGACACATACCATCTAATATAGAAAATATATTATCATAGCCCTACACTACTAAAAATTCGGTAATTAGCGACCAAAAAAACCGATCAAAGGTCGGTTATGGCCAGTTATTGACCAAAATGCGACCAAATGCTTGGACAATATTTTCATGCTCGCTTTAATATACCGACCAAAATTGATCAAAAATTACCGACCAACGTTGGTCATTAAATTAAATTCAAAGAAAAAAATATTGCAAAAAAAAAAACCGATAAATTGATCGGTTTTTTTCGACCAAAGTTGATTAATATTTTAATTATATAATCAAAAAATTTACCGTCTAGAAATCGAATCGGAATATGTATTGTGACAGGATATTATTCTACCACTTGGTGCATTTTATTTTAAAATTTTTATTATCTTTTTTTTATTTATACTCTTTAACTATATTTTCGCACGAAAATAACCGACCAAACTTTGGTCGATTTTTTAAAATGTCCGACCGATTTTACCTATCAAAATTGGTTAATTTTTTAATATTAATTTTTATTTATTTTAATTAAAAGAACCGCAAAATAATTTTCCGTATTTTTGCGGCAAAGAAAGTAGGCCGGTTTCGTAAAAGAAGAAGGTTAAAAATTAAAATATTTTTAAAAACCGACCTAACTTAGGCATTTTTATAGTGCTAACAATGGATCAACCGCACGGATAAAATCGCACGGATTAAAAACGTAATTACGAGCTTCAATGCCTATTAGGTCTCATAGGTAATAATCTTTTTTAAATAACATCCGTCATGATCCAGCACTCCATTCTCAAATGGATGCTGATTGGTGGTGATTGCAACGGTCACCCTTGTATCATGATAAAGACAGTTTAAAACATGTATCGGTCTCCTTTGTCCGAGAACCACCACACCCCACCCCCAAAAAAAAAAAAAAAAAAAAAAACCCCACATGTATTGAAAAATGTGAGCACTTTGAGAATAGTTTGGAACAAGCTTGAGGCAACAAAAAATACACATTCCAGCCAAGGCCTGGATTGGGGCTGCACTATGCGAGTCCTTAATTATTAAATTATTACTAACATACTGACATATATATACACGCACATTTTATACCGGTGACGCCATACAGACCATGTAAAAAAACGAAGATACAACAAATACCATTATATGTAGTGTTAAACAACGGCTATGCTATTCTACATCAAACGGAACACAACGAGAACAGTTGGGCACAAAGAGTCGAACAGCTAGGCCCATCCCAACACCACCTTTAGCTATTGACAATCACCCCACCTGCAAATTATTCGGAAAAAATTAAGGAACTCAATTATATTCATCAAATAGGATAATGCAGCTATATATGTTAAGATTCAACAATTACCATTGGGATGGAGTACTTGACCAGTAATATAAGAGGACTCCGGGGTAGAGGCGAGAAAAACATAGGAGGGAGCCACTTCTATAGGCTGACCAGCCCTTCGCATTGGCACGTCTTTTCCAAAATTAGCACTCTCTTCTTCACTGAAGGAAGCTGGAATAAGCGGAGTCCAAACAGGGCCAGGAGCTACTGCATTAACACGTATACCTTTCTCAACAAGTTGAAGTGCAAGTCCTCTAGTGAATGACACAATTGCACCCTTGGTAGCTGTGTAGTCAAGCAGCTTTGGATTCCCTTTATATGCAACCACTGATGTCGAGTTTATTATGCTACTCCCTTCCTTCATATGCTTCAAAGAATGCCTGCATGGATTAACAATTAGTCGTAATAGTTTTAAGCAGCTTCATTGAAGACACTACTTTACTATCTGGATGACCTACGTACATGTTACTGACCTCAAATGTTGCACGTGCTAATTTTTCAATAAATAAAAAATAAATTAAAACAGATAAGAAAAACGGCCAACCTGGTGAGGAAAAAGTAAGAAAAGATGTTAGTCCTAAAGACTCTCTCAAGCCTCTCTTCATCAATCTCCTCAACGGAGGTAGTCTTGTGCTGCTCCGCTGCATTGTTAACCAGAATATCGATCCTCCCATAGGAATTCACAACTTCGTCAACTACCTTCTTGCAGTTATCGTCGAACCCTAAATCGGTAGCAACAGCCATAGGTTCCATTGCGTCAGCTGCTTTGGCTTTCCTTAGTATTTCAAGGGTGTCTTGTGCATCTTTTTCTTCTTGAGATTTCACATAAGTGAAGGCCACCGTTGCTCCTTCCAACGCAAAACAATGGCAGACTGCACGTCCAATGCCGGAATCACCTCCGGCCACCAGTGCTATCTTACCCTAAACAGACCACACAAAAGAATGCAAGACAATTTTTATATTAAAATGTATGTTCCAAAGAAGAAAGTATGTCGTATTATATTGATAGTATGGAGTACTCCATTATATTAAAACAAAAAAAAAAAATTAACAGCGGGACAAACTAACATTAGTTGATATGCAATTTTCAGTTGTACGTAGTATAAATACTCAAGACACAATTTTGCTTCTTATGGTTAGTTACTAAAATATGATCAATTATATATAGTAAGTTGGCACGGAAAATATTGAGAATAAATTAAATGGAAGATGATGGAAATTGCACTTGAAGCTTGTTGGCGGGCTTATACTCCATGCTAGAGTGCTGTGGGGTTGGCTCCATCACATGTTCTTTTCCAGGCTGAGTTTCCTGTTTCTGTGGTGGAAATTGCTGGCCACCGCTCGCCATTCTTCTACAAACAGCTATAGATCTTCTCTCTGTGGGGACAAATTAATGTTAGAAACAAAAAGGAGAGTGGTATGTTAAGCTCTTGCTGAAGACGTGGGACTAAATACTGAGGACTGGACTTTGTGTGCTGCTTACAAGGTGGTTGACGTGGCAGAAGGGAGGAGCACACGTGTCTTCATAGGCCCCATGCAGCGGGACACGTTGTATACTCGGCGTGGTAGTGTTTTGGAGTTCGTCATCTTGTCCTACTCATCCTCTCATCTCAATCTACAAGGTTACTCTTTTTCATTTTTGTTTTTATGAGTTTTTTGTGCGTATTAACTTTTTGTTCTTTTATTCTATAGTTTTTCCAGCAAAAAGCAACGCGGTCTTGCATTAATTTCTTAACACACATATATAAAAAGGGTGTCAAAGACACTGTAGCAATACAATAAAAAGTCACTTGATAATTTTAGGATAAAAAAATTATTCGAAGATTAATCAAAGTCAAAATATTACAAAGCCACTTGATAAATTTTATAATTATTCTTAAAAAAATTTAAATACCAAAAATAATAACCAAAATAAAATTGTAAAGTAAATAAATAATATACAAAAGTATTATTAATAAATTTAGGCAAATTGAAGAATGTCAATAATAGAAGGCTTCTCCCTTAGACTTTTGAACACAATTATAAAAGGTTTCTCTTAATACTTTTAATAAATTCAAGCTTATAATTTAATTAAAAATTAAGGATATTTTAATTTTAAGTAATATACCAAATGGAAAAACTAATCAAATATAACAGTAGAAAAAATGTATCAAAAGAAAAAAAATATATAATGTCAGGATATTTTGAAGTAATTAAAGAATAATTTAAATAAATATCACTCAAAATAATTATTGGTAAATTTAGACAACTAAAGAATTTTGAATAATACACTACTAGAATTCCGGAAAAAAGCGACCAAAGTTGGTCTGTCGCGAAAAGCGACCAACTTTGGTCGCTATACTAGCGAAAATAATAAAATAAATAGTTGAAACAAACTAGCGACCAAGGTTGGTCGCTAAATTAGTGAAAAAGTTGACTGGACTGGTCAGACTTGCTTGGTCAAAGGTTTACTGAGATTGTTGGTCGCTAAAGTGGGACCCACCTACAAAATTTTAATAATTATATTATTATTTAAAAAAATTATAAAATTTAAATATATATAATTTAAAATTNAGTGTCCCATATCTCCTTAGCAGTAGTACAGCTTTGGATCCTACTGTACTCATCTGGACCTAGTCCACACACCAGCCATTTCTTGGCCTTAGCATTTTTCTCCCACTTTCTCAGATCTTCAGCAGTACAGTCAGCCCTTGTCTTTGGCACATCAACTCCTTCAGCATTCTTCTTTGTGGTTGCTAGGGGACCATCAGTGACTATGTCCCAAAGTTCATAGTCTTCCCCTATGATGTGATCTCTCATCCTGTTCTTCCACCAAGAATAGTACTGACCATTGAAAAGTGGAGGTCTAGCAGTGGATTGCCCTTTCCAGTTCCCAGGTGGTGCACTCATGTTGATCTTTTCCTAAGATGTTAGCCTCTTCAAGGATAACCTGCTCTGATACCAATTGATATTCTAAACGTCAATACCACACAAGAGGAGGGGTGATTTGTGTGGTACCCAATTTTCGCTCTAGAAGAACCTGGTTCTTCTAGGTGTACTTACTACTACTGTTTGCGGAATTAACAGTGCATAAAATAAAGAACTCAGAGATTTTTATGTGGAAAACACCTGGCTCAAAAGGTGAAAAAACCACGGCCTACTACTCAGTAGGATTTTCCCAAACTTCCACTAAAATCACTGAGCCAAAAATAGCATTTACAAAACTCTTGTAAACCTAAGGATTAAGCTCTAATCCTAGTGTGGCACACAACCTCAACTGCTGCGACACTTTCAAGTTAACTCTAACTTGAATACTCAAAATACCTAATACAATTGCTTCTATGAAAGCTGGAAAGGTACAACTTTAAACCACCTACTACAATTGAACTAGAATAAGAATAAACACAATAGAATCGGTTCTTCTATCTTGTCCAAGTAGCTTCAGGAATGCACACTTGAATCTCACATAAATTGCTTACAAAATTGCCTCGCTCTTTTGCTCTCAATTTAGTTTTACTTCTGCGTTTGTGCAACCCCTGTAAAAGAGAACAATCATTGTTATTTAATGAGTTAGTAATCAGAGTTTGATTGAGACTCAATTGCTGATCCTTTGTCGAATTTGAGTCCTATAACAATACAAACTCCAACCCTTATCCTTGATCCGGATTAAGTTCTCTTCACATTAGGAGACTTCATCTCCCCATCCTTTATGCAACCTTTTTGATCAATTCAGAAGATATTGCTGCTTGATCCTTGAGACTTATCTTCTTCACGTGCATCTCACATGTATAAGTAGATAACCACTGTATCTCACATGATGAACCTGGTCCATGACTGAGTTCATTTGTTCATTTGTCAATCTTCAAAACTTCATTTGAACATGGGCCAACAGAATAGGAGACTGCCACAGGAATGAAAATGCGCTGACTTGGTCAGCCTATCAACAATGACCCATACTGCGTCGAACTTCTTCCGAGTCTGCGGGAGTCCAGTAACGAAGTCCATAGTGATCCGCTCCCACTTCCACTCGGGAAGCTCAATCCTCTGAAATAAACCACCAGGCCTCTGATGCTTGTACTTCACCTGCTGACAATTCAAACACCGAGCTACATATGCATCAATATCCTTCTTCATCCTACGCCACCAATAATGCTGCCGTAAATCCTGATACATCTTTGCGACGCCCGGATGAGTAGAGTACCGGGAGCTATGGGCCTCCTCTAAAATCAACTCTCGGAGCCCATCCACATTAGGCACACAAACTCGACCCTGCAATCTCAAAACTCCATCATCATCTAAGGTAACCTGCTTGGCACCTCCGTACTACACCGTGTCTCTCAGGACACACAAATGGGGATCATCATACTACCGATCACGGATACGCTCCAATAATGAAGAACGAGCGATCGTGCAAGCTAACACACGACTGGGCTCAGAAACATCTAGTCTCACGAACTGATTGGCTAAAGCCTGAACATCCAAAGCAAGCGGTCTCTCATCGACCGGAATGTAAGCAAGACTGCCCATACTGGCTGACTTCCTACTCAAAGCATCGGCCACCACATTGGCCTTTCCCGGATGATATAAGATGGTGATATCATAATCTTTCAACAACTCCAACCACCTCCTCTGCCTCAAATTCAACTCCTTTTGCTTGAACAAATACTGAAGACTCTTGTGATCCGTGAATACCTCATATGCCACGCCATACAGATAATGCCTCCAAATCTTCAATGCGTGAACTATGGCTGCCAACTCCAAATCATGAATCGGATAGTTCTTCTCATGAATCTCCAACTGTCGCGAAGCATAGGCAATGACCTTGCCATCCTGCATCAACACTGCACCAAGCCCAATACGGGAAGAATCACAATAAACTTTATAAGGTCCTGAACCTGTGGGCAAGACCAACACCAGTGTCGTAGTCAGAGCTGTCTTGAGCTTCTGAAAGCTTGCCTCACACTCACCCGAACACTTGAACTGAGCACCCTTCTGGGTCAACCTGGTCATCGGGGCTGCAATAGATGAAAACGCCTCCACGAACCGATGATAGTAGCCTGCCAATCCCAAGAAACTCCGAATCTCTGTAGCTGATGCTGGTCTAGGCCAGTTCTTGACTGCCTCAATCTTCTTCGAATCAACCTGAATACCCTCTGCTGACACAACATGACCCAGGAATGCAACTGAACTCAACCAGAACTCACACTTCGAGAACTTTGCATATAACTGACTGTCCCTCAGAGTCTGAAGAACCACTCTAAGGTGCTGCTTGTGCTCCTCCTGGCTACGGGAATATATCAATATATCATCAATGAAGACTATCACGAACGAGTCCAAATAAGGCCTGACACTCGGTTCATCAAATCCATGAAAGTTGCTGGGGCATTTGTCAACCTGAATGACATAACCAAGAACTCATAATGCCCATACCGAGTGCGGAAAGCTGTCTTAGGGACATCGGATGCCCTAATCCTCAACTGATGGTAGCCAGATCACAAGTCAATCTTTGAAAATACCATGGCACCCCGAAGCTGGTCGAACAAATCATCAATCCTCGGCAGCGGATACTTATTCTTGATTGTAACCTTATTCAATTGCTGATAATCAATACACATTCTCATTGACCCATCCTTCTTTTTAACAAACAATACCGGCGCACCCCAAGGCGAAACACTGGGCCTAATGAAACCCTTCTCAAGCAAATCTTGCAACTGTTCCTTTAATTCTCTCAACTCAGGCGGGGCCATACGATACGACGGGATAGAAATGGGCTGAGTGCCTGGAGCCAAATCAATGCAAAAGTCAATATCCCTGTCGGGTGGCATACCCGGCAGGTCTGAAGGGAAAACATCAGGAAACTCACGAACAACAAGCACAGAATCAATAGAAGAAACCTCAGCGCTCGAATCACGAACATATGCCAAATAGGCCAAACACCCCTTCTCGACCATACGCCGAGCCTTCACATACGAGATAACACTGCGGGTAGAATGACCAGGAGTCCCTCTCTACTCTAAATGAGGCATACCCGGCAAAGCTAAGGTCACAGTCTTGGCATGACAGTCCAAGATAGCGTGGTAAGGTGATAACCATTCCATCCACAATATAATATCGAAGTCAACCATGTCTAACAGCAACAAATCTACACAAGTCTCAAGACCCCCAATCACCACAATACAAGAATGATGGACTCAATCGACCACAATAGAATCACCCACCGGTGTAGACACATAAACAGGAACAATCAATGCATCACTAGGCATGACCAGGTACGGTGTAAAATAAGACGACACATACGAATACGTAGACCCTGGATCAAATAACACTGAAGCATCTCTATCACAAACCAGAACGGTACCTGTAATAACTGCATCTGAAGCCTCAGCCTCGGGCCTGGCCTGAAGAGCATAACATCGGGATTAGGCCTCACCACCCTGAACTACATCTCTGG